CATTCCTTGGTCCGCGTTTCACGAGAACTGTATTTTCATTACTGAATGTCCACGTCTGCTATTGTTTGCGTACAAATTTCAACTGATTTCAACAATTTCAACAACTTACAACAAATTACAAATTTCGTCTGATGCGATTGAGCGGCAGCACACGCACGCACGCACGCACACACACACGCACGCACGCACGCACACATGCACACACGCACGCACGCTAGCACGCACGCACGCACGCACGCACGCACACACGCACGCACACACGCACGCACGCACGCACGACACGCACGCACGACACGCACGCACACACACACACACACACACACACACACACACAACACACACAACACAACACATGACAGCACACACACGCACACAGAAACGCACGCGCGCACACACACGCACGGGCACAGAAACACACGCACACACAACCACGCAAAAACGGTCCGGGTTTTATTCACGAGTCCGGGTCCGGGTCCGGGTTTTATGCAGGTTTTCCGGGTCCGGGTCCGGGTTTTATGCAGGTTTTCCGGGTCCGGTCCGGGTTTTATGCAGGTTTTCCGGGTCCGGGTCCGGGTTTTATGCAGGTTTTCCGGGTCCGGGTCCGGGTCCAGGTCCGGGTTTTATTCACACCCGCTGGCTACGCGTACGTTGCACGCATAGTTGCAAATGTGAGACGCATTGAACTTATGACACATATAATAGTCGTGATACATCCCTACACGTGTACGGACAAACATAAAAGGTATATATATCCATCGGCGTTCTCACACTCACCCTCTATATTCTCACCAATCGTGAATTGATTGCATGCTATATTTTTGTTGTTTGTGCAAAGCGACGTGCATGCAGTGTACTTGTATGTTGCAGAGGAGCATTTGAAGAGAGAGAGTGAGAGAGGCAGAGTTGCAGAGGAGCATTTGAACAGCATTTATAGGAAATTATCAGTAATACTAGGTGAAAGACAGTTAAGATACTTTGGCAGCAAATACATTTTCTTTATTCACCATTATTTTATTATTGAAACGTTTCAAGTGCCTGTTGAGTAGATGACAATTAAATGTATCAGTTATTTTTAGAAGCCAGATTTCCTCACCATGGCTCATACTAAACAAGAAACATGAAAGAGCCAAAGCTGCTTTACCTAGGTATTTTCAGGGGTGAATAATGACCCCTATCATTTTCATTATTCACGCCTGGTATTTACTACCCAGGGTTGGATGCATATTGGTGTCATGGCAAATGGGATTCAGTACAATGTGCACGGCATGAGGTTGTGCAGGTATTGAGTATTCGCTACAAACAGAACGAATCCTGCAACACTGCGCATATGTCATTCTGGACCACTTCTAATGTTTGTACAAGACATGCACACTCGGATCGATATATTTATATAATGTCCTTTGACATGACAGTTTACTGAAAGCTAGCTGTTTTGGTTTGAACATTGCATGCATATGATTGATAATGATACGTGTACGTACGTGTTGCATACACGTATATTTTTATTACCGTATTTTGTTGTACTGCACTGTAGAACCATCTGAAATTTAAAGATTATGATTGGTGGTATTTTCTATATGCAAGGAAAGACACGAAATTTGACAGGAATTTTTATCCAGTAAAAACTTGCTATTCAAATGAGAAATCGCGCAGGTATATGAATATTTAAGGATTGATTGCATATGATATCATAATAATTTACCTTGGCTTGCCATCCAATACTGTTCTAACTAAACCTACCACTGAGGAGTGTTGCCAACTGGTTTAGCATGGTGGAAGCCATGTGTGGCTTGTGTTCTGTGTTCTGTGTGTGGTAGTTGACAGTGGGCAGTTCGCCATTTATCATGTATAATAGTATCTACCAAAGGTCGTGGAGTGCCGGAGGCCTCCGGCACTATACGATCTTTGGTATCTACACTGGTCTTGGGGGCTTTCCCATCGGCATCCAATATCCCCCACCAATCGGCATCCAATCCCTACCACCGCCAGACCGCCGACCAATGACAGTGAAGTGGATCACCTGATCAAATCGATCAGGGACAACGCGCGTGGTGACTTTATTAGCCACGGTGTGATTTAATGGCCAATTAGTCAGGCACCTATCCAGTAAGCTTATCCTGATCATTGTAATATGCATATATTTGCATGAATAATTCAAATGGCATACACAATCAAATCATCGGTGACAGTCCTCTCGCCAAACTGGGCGAGTGAGTCAAATGGAATCTGTATTCGCCAAAATTTTAAAACAAAATGCTTGTAAAGCAATAGCGAAAAATATACTAATTAGGGATGGGTTCGGCAAGGGGTCCCTGATTAGGCGGGGTCCGGGGCCCCCCAGAATTTTTTTTTGAAAATTACACCTATATACCTCTTAGATGCAATTTCCTGCACTCTGATCTTTGAGGCAGCATTATTAAACAATCTTCATCACAAAAATATAACTTTTGAGTTGAGTATTTTAATCTTTGGGGACACCAAAGACTGAAAGACTACTTAAATAAAAAGAAACATATAAACTTCAAATTGCTGAGGGTTGGACTAGCTGCTCAGTCTCTGCCAAGTTGTGCAAGTACAATGCTAAGGCAAAGGAATGTGGTTAATAAGTTAATCTATCTGCCAACTGAATTAACACAGGCCTCGACGCTTAATTATTTTCAGATCTGTACAAAATTTACTTGCAATCTATATGACCCGTTAAGACATCCTCTTTTGGTTCAGTGCATATCATATTACGAGGAGTGTATAATATAGAGATCTATATTATATAAATAAATAGATATAGTAGATAGATAGATAGATAGATAGATAGATAGATAGGCAGATATATATATATATAGATAGATAGATATATATATAG